AAACAGTGATCAGTACTATTTTTTTTTAATGGTTTTGAAACGAATCTCTTTTGCTCACCAAGGCTGCATTTATTTGATCAAAAATACAGTGAAATATTATTATAATTTAAAACGACAGACTGTAGTCCATTGTAATATATTGTAAAATGTAATTTATTCCAGTGTTCAGAGCTGAATTTTCAGCATCATTACTCCAGTCTTCAGTATCACATCCTAATATTCTGACATGCTCAAGAAACATTTCTAAGTATTATCAATGTTGAAAATGGTTTAATATATTCGTGAAAACCGTGATGCATTTTCTTCAGGATTCACTGATGAATAAAAGTCAAAAGAACAGCATTTGTTTGAAGCAGAAATCTTTTGACATTAGAAATGTCTTTACTGTCACCTTTGATCATTTTAAAGCATCCTCGCTTATTAATTTCTTTTAAAAAATTGTACAGCACTCACACCTCAGCAAACAAATTTGATTTCCATTTATACAACATTTGAAGTGGATCAAAACCTTTCATCAAAGTTATCCTGAAACCTAAAACCAAAATCATGCCTTAGGACAAATAAGATATGCATATTTATTTCCATTTGAAAGATAACATGCAACACAAATATACGAGCAGAGGTTACCAGTTTACTGCTAACTAGTGAAACACTCCATTAAAATGATGCATTATGGTTGCGTCTGTTGCTTAATTCACTATATTTTAAATAGTTTGACCACTGCAATTCAGTTGGTGACAGTTCAATAGTTGAAAGCAACCATTGAAGTGAATGTTAAATGTATCAGTATATACTGTAAGAAATATTTGAGAAATTATTGTGTCTGATTGTATTAGTCTATATGTGACCCTGGACCATAAAACCAGTCATAAGGGTCAATTATTTGAAATTGAGATGTATACATCATCTGAAAGCTGAATAAATACGATTTTAGGACAGGGCAATATTTGGCTGAGGTACAACTATTTGAAAATCTGGAATCTGAGGGTGCAAAAAATCTAAATATTGAGATCAAATCGCCTTTAAAATTGTCCAAATGAAGTTCTTAGCAATGCATATTACTAATCAAAAGTTAAGTTTTGATATATCTTCATGGAACATGATCTTTACTTAACATCCTAATGATTTTTGGCATAAAAGAAAAATGGATAATTTTGACCCATGCAATGTATTGTTATTACAAATATACCTGAGCTACTTATGACTGCTTTTGTGCTCCAGGGTCACATTTAGAATGATAGTCAATGTAAAAAGAGCAAATGGGAGAAGCAGATGAACACAAAACAGCATAACAACATCAACTTTCTCATTCAACTGAACTGTGCACGTATGTTTTAAACACTTCGGCTCTTACATGTTCTTACTCCGCCCATGTATTAGCTAAATGTACGTCCTTGAAACGCGCAGGTTTAGCGTATTTACTTTACCTTCTCAACTTATTTCTAATCAGTTTGGAGCTGTTGATGTGGTTGTAATGCCCTGTACTGGACTACAAGTTCATCTGAGAGATGCAGAATGACCTATAATGAAGTAAGCGGTCACACTGAGGCAGAGGATGATGAGGAAGATGGTCCCGGGACCCACACGGACACCCACATCTGCAGGGGCCCGTCGGCGCTGAAGCTCTGGATGTGTGTGATGGAGCGATTCGGACCGCACTGGTAATGAACCACAGTCAGGAAACACACTGAGAGCAAGACAGAGGTCATGAGGTCAAGATATATGACAGATGTTTTCTATTGCTTTCAGATCGCTTTAGATTTACACTCATGAAATTGTTTGATGAGCATTTAATGATCCTGTGAAATTTCTTTACTTTGCAAACTTGATTTGCTACTTGATATTGTTAGCAGGATTTTATAGTTGACTAAAACATTTTTTTTGTTACTTGAAATAAAATAAACATGAACTGAAATAAAATATTTAAAAATGTAAACTTATTTTAGCTAGTTGTCAAGGCAGCAGTACTAATTTTACTACAAAGTACTACAAAAAAACTAACTAATAAATAAACGTATAGGATATACATACACACACACACACACATATATGTATATATATATATATATATATAATACACACACACACACAAAATAATACAATAAAATGAAAGTGAAAACAGAAAATATAAAAATAAAATCCAGTTTAAATGTTGGTAATTTTAAATGCATACAGTATTTGAAATGTGTTTTTTTTACTAATTTTTTAATTAACTTAAAAAACTACAGATGATGATCTAAAAGACACAAAATTTCAATTTTCATTTCAGTTTAAATGGATAAAAAAATCTGTTTGCTTAATATTACATAAAAATTCAAATAAATAAATCACTGTTTGCAAACTGACAAAATATATATCAATTATATATCATATATATAATTAAACTAACATATACTAATATATATCAAACTAACAAATGTAACTTTAAAATTGCATTTAAAGAAAGCATTTCCATTTAAAATGTAATTGGACGGTTGATGAGACATGATAAGAGAACCTTGAATTAAAGACTTGCTTGATACAGCTACTTACTGGAATAAGACACAGTGAGGGTTTTCTTTGAGTTGTTATAGCTGAATTTATTGCCTTCATGTCTGCCGTAGTTCAAGTACTGATATTGATGATTGATGAACCTGTTGTCCTGATGAATCCTACAGAAACAGCTGCTGCTGCTGTGAGGCCTAGAGAGAAACAAACCACGCTCAGAACAGAGAGAACCATCCCGTATTCACCACTGCTGAGTCTGACCACTAACTAGCACTGCAGCACACGAGTGATAATAATGCACGTGTCAGATTCCAGCGCAGCTCTACACCAGCATTATTACAAACTCTGTTTACAGTGAGTAAAGTGATTACATGGTGTATAAAACTGTATAAGATATTTGATATATTACAAACTCTATTTATACAGTTAGTAAAGTGATTACGTGATATAAATGTTTATAAAAATAGTAGTATAAAATATAAACTTTTTTTATATTACAAACTATTTACAGGTAGTAAAGTGATTATATAATACATGTTAAAAATATAACAGTATAAAATATTATATATTACAAACTATATGAAGTTAGCAAAGTGATTACATAAATGTATATAATTTTCTAAAAAATAGTATAAAATATAAAAATATTATAGAGTAGAAACTGTGCTTACAGTTAGTGATTACATTATATAATATATAATTTGATTAAAAAAAGTATAATAGCATAAAATATAAAAAGTATATTACAAACTGTAATCACACTTTAGTTTTTTCTAATAGCATAAAAATGGTATATATATAAAAAATATTTCCAGCTCGTAAAGTGCTTATACAACCTAATTTTATTAAAAAATCTATCTATCTATCTATCTATCTATCTATCTGTCTGTCTGTCTGTCTGTCTGTCTGTCTGTCTATCTGTCTGTCTGTCTGTCTATCTATCTGTCTGTCTGTCTATCTATCTATCTATCTATCTATCTATCTATCTCTTTCCAATAACATGTTTACACTCATTTTTATGAGAGCATCAAATTATAATACCAAGTGAAACCATTTACATTTAGTCATTTAGCAGACACTTTTATCCAAAGCGAATTACAAATGAGGACAATAGAAGCAATCAAAACTAACAAAAGAGCAACAATAACCAAGTGCTACTATGACAAGTCTTGGTTAGCCTACGGCTGTTTTAACAACAAATAAAAAATAAATAATAATAATAAAAATAAAACAACATTCCCATTATGTTATGAAAACGTTATTTCTGAATGTTCATCTTCATTTTCATAAATTCGTGCAATCTCAAGTCAACTGAGCTATTGCTCTTTAAAGGGGTCATATGATGCGATTTCAATTGTTCCTTTCTCTTTGGAGTGTTACAAGCTCTTGGTGCATAAAGAAGATCTGTAAAGTTGCAAAATGATTCAAACGCGAGTTTTGGGCAGTGTAGAGTAGCACTTGTTGTGTGTCATTTCTCTGATCACAAATGCAGACAGGGTTTTATGTTTACGCGGTGCGATGCAATGCAACGCAACGCGTAAAAAGACAGTATAAGTCATTATAATCAGTAATTATGCCCCCACTGGATGCAACAAATGCCTCGTTTGTAATGGGTTTTCATCAGACTGTATAAAAACAGGTTTTCATGTTTTTGTCTCGTCGCTCCGGCCGGACACGACATCAACAGTATGTGAGGGGCGTAACATTTCCGTCACACGCTTGAGGTATTCGGCCAATCACAACGCATCGGATAGCTGGCCAATCACAGCACACCTCGCTTTTCAGACCGATGAGCTTTGTAAAAATCGACGAGGAGAAACAATAATGTACAGTGTGTGGAAAATAATGTGTTTTTTTTACTTTAAACCGCATAAACACATTTCATTACACCAAATACACAAAATAATGTTCTTTTTAGCAACATCACATGATCCCTTTAAATAAGGCGGAGCAGTATAGACTGATGAACGCACTGGTGCCTCAAATTAAATACACACACTAGCCCATAGAAATATAATGAGCAGAATAGCCATTTGTTTGAATAGGCTGGGAGTGGCGGGCCGAAGCTGTTCGTAATAATTAGTGTACATAATAATTATCCTATTATTCACTGTGCTTTTCTTAACAAATTGCATTTCTATTAAAGTTTCTCGTGTCATAATTCAGGTATAAATTATTATTAATAATTATTGTCAGGAAAAGCGCTGAAACAGCGTAACCTCACGTGATAACTGTTACTTTTCTCAGCGCTGCTAAGATGGACCAATCACAGTCGATTGTGATTAGGTATTTTTAAGAGTAATTGTATAGAAATTGCTGCGGCGGATTTTTATTTGTATATCAGCTATTAATCGTTAGAAAATAACGGATTCAAACGAGTATACTCTTCCCAACACAAATGTTTCCAGTAAGACAAAAACCTTTCTGAGATTTGAATGCGACTCAATGAAGGATTGTATTCGTGAGCCGCTTAGCGCCCCCTACAGTTAACACACGTTCATGCCTCATAGAAACCGTTGAAGACAGAAACACACTGGCCTCTGCCGAGCGCCTGATGCCGCGGGGATTCCGCCTCTTTCTCCGTTTACAACATGGATTTCAACGTGAGGAAGCTCGCTACAGATGCTGGGATATTCTTTTCACGAGCTGTTCAGGTAAAAACGGGCCGTTTCTGGATAAATATACGAGTTTAAACGCGGCAGTCAAGAGTTCCGGTGACAGTTGATGTGTAACTCGTGACACCCGCATCTGCGTTTAACGTTAGCTACAGAAAACACCAAACCCGAGTTTCACAGATAAAATCACAAATGCACTTTTAGCCGAATTAAATCTAGTTTCGAACATAATTAATGTGACTAATGTAGTGTATGTTATAAAACAGCAATTAAGTAGTGATATTGATTGGTTGAACATGAGGCGTATTTAAATATAACGTTATTAAGTTAGGTTGTTTGGTACTATTTTCAGTGTTGGGAAGTAACGTAGCTAGTTACATGTAATTAAATTACAAAATACATGTAATGGGAATCGGTTACAGGGACTGAGAAGAAAATGTGTAATTAAATTACAGTTAACGGTACTTATGAAAATAACAATTACAAAGGAGGTTACATCTGAATTATTTTTCCACACACACACACACACACCCACATAACCACATAACTTAAAGGTTTAATAACTGCTCTAAAATATAAGACAATGTTTCAGGGTTTTAGGACACAGAATAGGACACGTTTTAACGTTACTTATGAAAATAACAATTACAACGGAGGTTACATCTGAATTATTTTTCCACACACACACACACACACCCACATAACCACATAACTTAAAGGTTTAATAACTGCTCTAAAATATAAGACAATGTTTCAGGGTTTTAGGACACAGAATAGGACACGTTTATTCGATAACTGTTTTATTTCCTGTTTGGGTTAATGTGTTTGCTTTATTTTTCAAGATTAACATTTTTTTCCCCCAAGGCATGGTTAGATGCCAGTGTTTCCTGTCATAGCTATGCAAAGATTTGATTTAAAAAACAGTATCGTAGCTATTAAACTATTTATTGTTATGATTTTAAATCTATATTTAGCCTCAGAACTATCACAAAGTGAAAAGAGGTGTTAAAGGGGTCATATGATGCTATTTTAAAGATCATTATTTTGTGTATTTGGTGTAACAGAATATGTTGACATGCTCTGTTCCCCTCACACACACATTTTGAACAGTCAATAGCAAATACTTAAACTAATAACAAAACATACTTACAGTCGCTGATTCAGAAGCGCCAGATTGTCATGGCAAAGTCGGAATTGAGCCCTTTTTTTATTTTTTTATTTTTTTTTAGAAATAGCCTTTGTGCACAGCCAGCCTTGTACTCTTCTAGGTTCAAAAAACTGTCGTCCATAAAATGCGTTGCACAAATTCGAACATCTGGGTTGTGCTGTTCTGTTGTAAATAAATCTTAACCAATGATTCCTAATTGCATCTACTTCCGGAAGGCCAAATAAAGTGCTTTTGCTTTCGCACTGAAACACACACCGTCTCCCTGACATGCTGCATCAACACTACTGCTGTTCCTGAAACTACGCCTTCTTTCTTTGCGTGCACATTTGGGCAGCATTATGCTAATATTTCCACATAGTGACGTAGACATGTGGGCCATGTTAGAACGAGCCGCTTTAGGTAGGCGTAGCTGACTCTTAACTTTTATAAAGAATATCTCTTTGGATTTGAGACTTTAGTCTTTGCAACTTTACAGATCTTCTTTATGCACCAAGAGCTTGTAACACTCCAAAGAGAAAGGAAAACTTGAAATCGCATCATATGACCCCTTTAAAGTCTGATTTTGTGGTGGCTGTGCTTTAAAATTAAATTACTATGATCTTAATTCAAGTGATGAAGGTTTTGGAAAGTCTGACAGTAATCAGTGTTGAGAACTACTGTAAGGTTAACCCTGCCTAGTTTACATACTTGAAAATGATTAATAATTGAAAACATTAGAAATTTAGAATAGTAGTCAAATGTATTCAGTTACATTTCTTTAATAAAGTAATTGAAATAGTTACACAACTTATTACATTTTAGATAGGGTAACTTGTAATCTGTAACCTATTACATTTCCAAAGTAATCTTCCCAACACTGATTATTGTGATGCGTTTCCTCTCAGGAATATGACAGGTTCTTGTTGATCTTGTTTCTTTTGCTCCAGTTTACAGAGGAGAAACTGGGACAGGCTGAGAAGACCGAGCTGGACACACACTTTGAGAATCTGCTGTCCAGAGCTGACTGCACCAAAAACTGGACCGAGAAAATCTACAGACAGACTGAAGTTCTGCTTCAGCCAAACCCTGGTGAGCTGGTGACTCAGACACACCTGATATATAAGGGTCATGAGTCAGTTCAGGACACTTTTGACTGCTGCTGTGACTGTGTTTCATCTGTGGCACCTTGAACATGATCTGGAATAAATATCTGATTAGGGCTTTGATAAAACATCAACTACTGTGTATGATGATAATGGCATTATTCATTTTTTTTTGGAGAAAAGTCTTGGAGCTGTAAGTCAGAAATTATTTGTTTATCAAATAATTGTTTATTTGTTTAAGTATTTTGTATTAATTTAATATTATATATTAATATATTTCATATATTATAAATAAAGTATTATATTTAGTGCTGTCAAACGATTAATTAGGGCTGGGAAAATAAATCGATGCTTCGCGAATCGAGAAATGATTCTGCATCGATTCTGAGATTTTCCGAATGCATCGCGAGTCGATTCTGAGCTTAGTTTTGAACAGCAAAACTTGTTTCCAAATCCTTACACGCACTTGAACCTAAAATAATCATTCATAAAATTTGAAAAGGTTGAAGCGATCCTATTTAGATCCTGTTTAAATGATCCTAGGGACTGACAAAATGTCCTCTAATTAAAGTAAACGTCCTTTAAAAAACTGCAAAGTAGACCAAAGTGCTGAAGTACGTAGTTTTTGCACCACAAAAATCATTGTCATCGTGTTTTTTCCTTTAGTATGTCAGAAGTGTCACATCTTGACTGCTATTGTTCATTTGTTTTTGATGTTGCTTTATATTGTCCACTTGTGCGTCAGGTGCTCGCATCGAAGAGTTCCTGTATGAAAAGCTTGACCGGAAGGTTCCCCCGCGGCCCACTAATGGAGAGATCTTAGGCCAGTTCATGCTGGAGGCAGCGAAGGAGTTTGGACCAGGAACCCCGTACGGTAAGAATCCAAACTCAGAAACATGTCTGACAATGTTTTTGTTGTCTCTTTTTTTTTTTTAATCAGTACTTTAAAATTCTTTGCAAACCTCAGCACTGGATTGTCTGTGTGCATTTTTGGCAGAAAAAGGCTGCCAAGAGTAAACACTTGATTTATTTTGTCTGTAAGCTGAACTCCGCTGGGTCGAGGACAAATCCATTGATTTGGTTTTCAAATGATGCTCTTAATCTAATTCAATCCCCTGCAGTAACATTAAAAGCCACTGTCTGTGTTTGTGATTCTAAAGCTTCTTTTGTAGATATAATGTGAAAACACAATAGGTTAGCAAGCGTTCAGCTCTTTAAGTGGGGGAATAATTAAAGTGCACCGACTGTGATGTTGAAGTTTTTCAGTGTGATTGGATTGATTTTGCAGTCTCTGATGGTTTTTCCCCGCAGGCTGTGTGGAAGCAGCCAAACCAATAAATCTCGATGCATTTTCCTTTCTGTTCCATATCGGACTGATCAATAGTGTCAGAGGTCACAGCAGTCTGTGATGTCATTTCCTGGCCAACATTCTTCCACAGAGATTTTCCCTTTATAACATTCAGTAGAAGTACCAGAGGTGTCCAATTGATTTTTTGTTGTTTTTCTTGCCTCTTACATGATAATTAAATTGACCTAACTGTGCTCTAGTCATTTTTATCAATATTAATAAACCTGATTCTCAAAAACTGTGATATTAAAGCTCTGCTTCAGGATTTTAAACCAGATAGAGGATGCATTTTATGCTTTCTGAGCAATTAGAAAGTCATTCTAGAAAACACATTTGTCAAAGCAGTGATTGTGATGAGCCTTTTGCAATCAAAATAAGACCTGTGACCTGTTTTTGAGTTTCAGGTCAGTTTTGATCGAGTTGCGCACAGCTGGGAAGAAAAAACATTGCTAAATGCAAATAAAACTGAATTAAAATTGATTATTAAAACATAAAAATGAAATTAACCATACAGTTGTGCAGAAAATAAATATACTTATTTACTCTTTTGTTGATTTTGATTGCTTCCATTGTCCTCATTTGTAAGTCGCTTTGGATAAAAGCATCTGCTAAATGACTAAATGTAAATGTTATGGGAGAACACTTCTCATATCATCTGTTATTACTATCAGAGGTCAGTAATTTGGTCCACAATTCACCTGTCACTATAAATGAAACCACAGTAAAAACATGTAGCTAAAAGAAAATATGACCCTTTATATAAACCCTTTATATATGACCCTTTATATAAATATATATATGTGTGTGTGTGTGTGTATGTGTGTGTATATATATATATTTCCTTTACATGCTTTTATATATATTTATATATTATATATTTTTGTTACAAAATAGGTACACACACACACATATACATATACATTGTGTGTGTATATATATATATATATATATAAATTCAACATGGCACCACATGGCAAAGAACACTCTGAGGATTTGAAAAAAAGAATCGTTGCTCTACATAAAGATGGCGTAGGCTAAGAAGAAGATTGCCAAGACCCTGAAACTGAGCTGCAGCACGGTGGCCAAGACCATACAGTGGTTTAACAGGACAGGTTCCACTCAGAACAGGCCTCGCCATGGTCGACCAAAGAAGTTGAGTGCACGTGCTCAGCGTCATATCTCTGTATATATACACACACACACACATATAATTTAATATTTATTTTTTAAATTATAGTTATTTTAGTGCATCAAGAATTTAGTGCATCTAGCTGAAATAAATTAAGTTTAAGGTGTTTTGTTTTATTTTATTTCAATTAAAGTGCATTTTATTTCATGTAATAGAAATATTTTTTATGGTTTTAATTGTAGTTAACTAGAATAACTTTATCCACATACAGTATATTCAGATAGGGCGATATATACTATTTAGCAGATCTCAACTGCTTGATTGTTTGTATCGTTGTAAAATGTAACTATTATTATATTTTCGAAAAGCTCTAATCTGCTAAATGCAACTATAAGGCATGAAGATATCATGACATTATAGTAATTTTTTATGATTTTTTGTAAAGCTGCTTTGAAACAATTTGTATTGTAAAAAGTGCTATACAAATAAATTTTACTCAAGAACATTAAATATGGGTTGGTATATTAATAAACATCTATGAATAAGTGAATAAATATGAATTCCAGTGTTGAATTTTATTATTTATTTATTTCCTGAATGATAAATGCTTTTATTGCAGTGTTTGTTTTGCCACTTGAAAAGCACAGATAATAGATCCATAGAGTGAAGAGAGAACTGTGCACTGTCTGTTCTCAAACTAAAGTGCACTTAGTGGTTTTAAATGGCTCATTAACGTCCTGTGACCACATGCTTTTAGGATGGGCTGTAGTGTCAGTCAGTGGACATACATGGTTTATCTCTGCAAGTACAGGACTAATGCAGCCTGTCTAAAGTATAGAAAACCTTGTAAAAATTAATATATGGAGTGTTTGTAGATGAACTTTTGACTGCATTTGTTGTTGGCCATTAACTAGGTTACTTGTGTCAAGAAAGCATGCTGTAGTTTTCACATAAATACATTTAAAGGTCCACCGAAGTGCTTTGAAACACGCAGCGTTCTTCTGTGTGTTGACGTCATTTCATGTCCCGCCCCCTTTTTTAAAATAGCCAATAGCGTTTCGTTTATATCACAGTTACAATTTGCACCAGAGCCGTTGAGCTCGGTAAAGCCGCATTTGACAGTCACAATCTCATATCGCTATAAAATATAGCATTCTGTGTAGAATTCAAATGGATCCGTTAAGTATGGTCTGCGCCGACTCATATTATCCATATTATATTATGCGTATTATCCGCGCCATGTATCGTGTCTGTGGACCGGTGCAGACTGCGTGCACGGTGCGGCGGTTAGCGTGACACAGCGCGAAACCAGACTTCATTCGCCCCAACGGAAAGCATATTTGCACGGTCTGAATCGTTTCCTGTCCCCTATATAGTGCACTGCGTGCCATTCACTGTACAGAAAATACAAATCCTGTGAACAAGTGACCAATTTGAGCTGCAGCTTCAGCGTCTATTTATAGTGCAGGGGGCGGGACGCTTCGGGTTCTAGAGAGCATTTGATTGGACAGAAAGTTTGATGAGAAGCTGAAGTGCAGTGTGATGTCATCAAAATCGCTGATCCATATTGGCGGAAGTGAGAGACCGCAAGTTTTAAATGATTATATCTTGTAAAAGCGAATTTTGTCATTGTTTTGTAGCACGCTAGCTTATAGATAATCTTAAGCCTAACATATTCATACTAAAAGCCAAAAATATTCAAGATAGGTGATAAAAGGTTAAAAGGTGTCCAAATGTCTAAAATCACTACTGAAAATGCTTTTCTTATTAATTTTTCGAATAACAATTTGAGAATGTTTCATTTGGTGTTTCTCTTTACCTTTAATGGAGCTCCATGAACAAAACCTGATGATCATGTTCTCCAGCATCAGAATCAGAATCAGAGTGAGCTTTATTGCCAGGTATGTTTACACATACGAGGAATTTGTTTTCGTGACAGAAGCTTCCACAGTGTAACAGAATGACAGTGACAGAACAAAAAACAGATAATAAAAAAAAAAAAATAGAACAAGTAAATAAGGAATATAAATATATAAATTGACAATTGTATGTGCAGGTATATTACAATAGACAGTTTTGTATGTACAGGTATATTATGTGCAAATTTGAGGTGTGTCAGGAGTATGAGTGTTAGATAAATAAGTGTATGAGTGAGTAAATAGTGTGTGTTCCACAGTTATTGTTAAGTGTTCATGAGATGGATTACCTGAGGGAAGAAACTGTTCCTGTGTCTGGTCGTTCTGGTGCTCAGAGCTCTAGCGTCGACAAGATGGCAACAGTTCAAAGAGGGAGTGCGCTGGATGTGAGAGGTCCAGAGTGATTTTGCCAGCCCTTTTGCTCACTCTGGATGAGTACAGTTCTTGGAGAGAAGGGAGGGTTGTACCAATGATTCGCTCAGCAGTCCGGACTACCCTCTGTAGTCTTCTGAGGTCAGATTTGGTAGCTGAGCTGAACCAGACAGTTATAGAAGTGCAGAGGACAAATTCGATGATGGCGGAGTAGAACTGTTTCAGCAGCTCCTGTGGCAGGTTGAACTTCCTCAGCTGGCGAAGGAAGTACAACCCCTGCTGGGCCTTTTTCACAACGGAGTCAATGTGAGTGTCCCACTTCAGGTCCTGAGAGATTGTGGTGCCCAGGAACCTGAATGACTCCACTGCAGTCACAGAACTGTTCATGATGGTGAGTGGAGGGAGAGCAGGGGGGTTCCGCGTCTTTCAGCCAGGTTTCCGTGAAACACAGAGCAGCAGAGTTTGAAAAATCCTTATTTGTCCGGGAGAGCAGAAGGAGTTCTGCTCCGTTTTGTTGGGTAGAGAACAGAGGTTCGCGAGATGGATGCTAGGCAACGGTGTCCTGAATCCGCGCTGCCTGAACTTCACGAGCGCGCCGGCTCGCTTCCCCCGTCTGCACGTCCTGAAGCGTCTGAACAGCGCCGCTGCTCCCCCGACTACAATGTCCAGCAAAACATCAGAATAATCGAAAACCGGTGAAATATCGGGTGGTGTGTACTGCCGAATGTCCAGCAATTCGTCTCTGGTGAAACTGATTGCAGGGATATAACTAAAGACAGGACAAACTAACAAAAACATAAAAACAACTGCGGAGCACGCCACGGAGGCAGCCATCACCGTCGGTGGAAAATTATATTTTTGAAGTCGAGCCTAATAGAAAAGAGCTTGAGGCATTTCAGTGAAGTTTTGCAGTTAAAATCACAGACTGCCATGTAAAGAGGTGTTAATTATTGATTCGGTGGGCCGAACAGCTGCTCTAACATATTTGTGAATGTCCCTCTCAACCGGCTGTGACACAATTTGCTTGCATCCTCATTTTACATCCACATTAAATTTCGCTATTGATTGCAATGCAGTAAAATGACAGTAATGACCGATATGACCGTTACACTGGTCTGCATCCTATTTGCTGAATGAAATCCAATACTTGTTTCTTACTAATTTTGTGGTGCTGATTTCAAATGAATGTCCCTCTCAACCGGCTGTGACACAATTTGCTTGCATCCTTATTTTACATCCACATTAAATTTCCCTATTGATTGCAATGCAGTAAAATGACAGTAATGACCGATATGACCGTTACACTGGTCTGCATCCTATTTGCTGAATGAAATCCAATACTTGTTTCTTACTAATTTTGTGGTGCTGATTTCAAAAATAGTGCCTGTTTTGCTCGAGCATGTCGCACTTTCTCACAAAATATATTGCATTTTGTAGCATTTTTGCTTTCGACAACCATTTGTTAGTTGAAGAAGTCTATATATATATAAATATTTATAATATTTCATCCTTATTTTGTGAAAAACTATGTGCTGGAACGTGTTATTGTTATTTTTGAACTTTGCTTCATTAAATTAGGTGATGATAGAACTTTTTTTACAGACCAGCAGAATTATTTTCAAGATGTGTTATTTAATGCACGTAATTTATCTGTGTTGGAAATGAAATGGATTTTGTGGGAATGAAGTAATTCTGCCCACACTGTGGGTTTTACTCGTGACTCATCTGTGCTTTGGCCATGTAGGAAGCACTCTAATCAAAGTGGGCGACTGTCAAAGGAGACTGGGTGGCGCTGAGAGAGAGTTTCTGCAGACCTCATCCATTAGCTTCCTCACACCCCTACACAACTTTCTGGAGGGCGACTGGAGGACCATTTCTGTGAGTTTGACTCTTGTACTAACAGATTTGAGCATGATGCTGATATATTGAAAAATGTTGTCCTCCTCGCAGAGAGAGCGGAGACTACTGGAGAATCGGCGCTTGGATCTCGACGCCTGTAAAGCGCGACTCAAGAAGGCCAAAGCGGCGGAGACCAAAGCGGCTGTAAGATTTATTTCCCCTGTTCTCTCCTCCCTTTTCTTCTCTTTTCTCTAGGGATTGGAATCATAAGGGATTTAGCATTTCTGATTTTGGTTCGCATTTAAGTTTTCTTAAAGGAATAGTTCAGCCAAAGTTCAGTGTTTGTAAGAAACAAATCCAAATTTTAACTAAACTGTTGCTTCCGGCTAAAATATGAGTCCATAATCAATAATAACGCTTCATCGAGTGAAATAGTCTGTCTGCTGTTGTCCTCTCGCATCAAAATCCACCCACAAATTTGTTTAGAATTGTTTTAGACTGTTTCCTCTTGTAAACAGTGCTTGATCTGAGCAGATTTCTCTCCTGATTCAGACCAGGTGACTTTTTCACTGGGAGAAAGCAATTGTTAAGCAATATACGTCTCAATATATTTATTTCTTACAAACACCGCTTTTGGTTTCACAAGATGTTAACTGATGGACTGGAGTGGTGTGGATTACTTGTGGATTATTGTGATGTTTTTATCAGCTGTTTGGACTCTCATTCTGACGGCACCCATTCACTGCAGAAGTTTGTTAATCTGGAAAACAATCAAATACTTGAAAGTTGATTGTCTTGAAGACTCCCTTCTTATTATGTGTATTTTATTTGATTACGATCTTCTGTCCTGCAGAATATAAACATTTCAAAACTTATTCGATTTTGGTATTCTAAAAAAGGTAAGTAGTTGTGAATAATAACTGGTTCTCGATTCTCAACCCTCTCATTCCTCTTCCTTATTGTCACGCTTTGATGACATCACTCGATATGGGTCTCTTCCTCGTGTTTGTTGTGTGTGGTTGTGAATATTGAGTGATTTCTCACCGGTTGATCGAGCACTAACCGTGTGTTTCTGCTTTAACCTTCACAGTGTGAGGGAGAAGTGAGTATCACAGTGTGTTTCCTCTTATGCACGTTATGCTTTTTTCTTTCTTTTTTTTTTTTTTGCCTTTTTAACTTTTTTTTTTTATTTACAATGACATAAAGGCCTTTCAGATTTGTTCCTCATTTTTCATGAACTCCACTAAGATCTTCTTTTGAATGATATGATGGAATTACTTGTATCTGAGTAAACCTTTAAAATATAGATTTCCAGAATGCATCGCAACAAGCTTAAGAGATTTTTATTTATTTTTTTTAGTTTTTTTAATGTCTCCCAAAAAGTAGGGGGAATAATTTCTACATTTCCAAATTCCTCATTTATAAAGGTTGCTATGCACTTCATTTTAAAAATATGTTATTTAGTACTGAGAATGTTAGTGTTCTGGCTATATAAATGTTTTTTTAATGTCTCCCAAAAAGTAGGGGGAATAATTTCTACATTTCCAAATTCCTCATTTATAAAGGTTGCTATGCACTTCATTTAAAAAATATGTTATTTAGTACTGAGAATGTTAGTGTTCTGGCTATATAAAACTCAACTTTATTGCCACAAGTCAAATATACAAATAATAATTAGGGATGCACAATATTATCGGACCAATATCGGAATCGGCCGATAATGACTTTAAATGTAAATATCGGCATCGGCCCGATGTGAAAAATTATGCCGATATGCCTTGCCGATAAGAGGAATACCTTAACTTGCATGTGTTCAGGTGTGCTAGCGATTAGATCACGTCAGAAGTGTGGCTCATTCTTTAAGCAAAGTTTTGCCTGAATGATGATTAGATTCACTGTTTTGGATCGCTGCATTTAAACTGAGAATGCACATACAGAGTGACATGTTCATGTATGATAGAGTAAACAGTAATAGCACATGCAGTGGCGGCAGCAGAAGCCTCCCCCGGGTCCTCATGCCTGTTCAGTAAGGAGTTTTAATTCCGTAGGGGGCGCTGTTGGCCTACTTCTAATAAAATGAAAGTAAAATACACAAATAACATTTAGACTGTGTTTCTGATTAAATAAAGCAGTAATTGATGTTATAAAATCATGAGTATGTTTTGATTTAAAGGTCAGAAGCTACAGCTTACATGAATAAAAAAATCATAAACATGTTGTAAATTTACACTTGTAAATTTAATAATTTTATATATACTGATTTATTCATTAATGTGTAATATGCTACATTTTTTTTTTTTTTACAAATTATGAGCTCTAAAAGATTTTCTGAATTTTTACAACTCTTGCTTTAGACCATATACAAATGTTAAATCTTAAAATAAAATGTTAAGGTTACTACTGCATCGTTCTGGAAAGAAATGCAGCGATTGATATATATAGTTTATTTATAGTTATTTTTAAAGCTTCAATGTACTATCATTATAAAATAACTTCATTATTGTTTGTTTAAATGTAACAAATAAGTTCCTGTTAAAAACTAACCAAAATTAAAAATAAATTGCTTATAATTTCCACACAGGAGAGACTTGGTGTTGTTTCCAAAAAAAAAAAAGAAAAGGAAATATATCAGTATAGGCATCGGCTATCGGTCAAAACGAGTTGAAAATATCGGCATATCGGCAAAAATCCAATATCATGCATCCCTAATAATAATATAATTTTACATAGCTACTACTTATGCATGTTTTGTATTTTTGTGCCTATTAGAGTATCATTTTGTTGGCTTATAAACATGTTATTTTAGTATTATTTAAATACCTTTGTAGTATTTCTTTTTATTTTTAATATTTATTTTTATGTTTTCTGTCTTCATTTTAATTCAATTTAATTTTAGTTTAGGTTTTAGTAATTTTATGTGCTTTTGTCTTTTGTATTAGCTTTTTTAATATTTCATATTTAGCTTTCATTCATTTTTATTTTAGTTTAACACTTAAGCTTATTTCAGTTAGTTGCCAAGGCAACATTTCAAAAAAAATTTTTACATTTATTTTAATTTAATTTATTTTAGTTAACCATAAAATGCTACTACAAACTACGGGAAATTAGCTGTGAGCATTAGCAGAGATTCAGCCCCTGTTGAAAATCAGTTACGTTTGAGGATCCATTTCAGTTATGATGCTGCCTGAGATTGTTATGGCCTGTGTGTGTAGACAGTCAACAGTGAGGGTTTGGAACAGAGAAATCAATCAAACCTTGCTCTGTCAAGAGTGAAAGCTGATAGAGTCAGTTATTCAGAATACAGTTATTCTGTCAGCGTCCTCTAGTGGCTAATATATGAACAGAAAGTATAGTTTGTGATCATGTGATCATCTGTTCCATCATATCATAATCCACACCCACTCAAATTGTTTTGCGTTTCATTAATGCAACAGAATTTATACATAATGCACTTAAAGATGCAATATTTCAGTTGCAGTATCTTTATTTCATCATTCAGCTAGATCAAAGATCAGATGTTTTCAGTCTTATATTAATTAAAGATTAGCTAAACATCATCTAAACTTGATCAGACTTGAACACATTATTCTGATCTTTGAATCTATTTAGCTGTAGTTCTGATGCATGAAGGCTTTTAGAAGAGAATTCATTGCTAATTTTTGTTTTTAGTTTCTCACAATGACCAGCAGTTATCATCCTATAGTTCAGTGCAGCGGATGAAGATGGAGCCAGTCAGTCTCTTACCTAAAATATCTGCTGCTAGTGATTGTGTTTTGGCAGGAGGTGTGTATTAAAGTGTGTTCCTCTCTGTTTCAGGCTGTTCCAGACTTTCAAGAGACAAGACCGCGTAATTATGTGCTGTCTGCCAGTGCATCTGCGGTAAGAACATCCTGCGGTCTTCACTGCCTGAGACATCCACCTCCACACACACACATCTATATACACAAGCACATATAACATTTCCAGTATTAATATTCACGAGAGACACAATCTGTCATTCATTATTCTGACATGCTGTTGTCAAATCGCAGTGTTTTCCTTCGTTCTGTGAGGGATGTGATTTTACCAATGATAAAAATCAGCATGTGGAAGCTTATTTCCATCACAGAATAAAACCAAATTAAAAAGGTAAAAACATTTTTTCTCACAGACCAGACTTTTTTCTCACAATTCTGAGAGAAGAGGTAAATATTGTAAGATATAAACTCAGAATTGTGAGATACGAACTCTCAAATTTGCTAGAGAAAACAAAGTCAGCATTGTGAGAGAAAAAGTCACAAATGCCTTTATAATGTTTTTTTGTTCTGTAATAGAAACAAAAAAAACAGAATTGCGAGACGTAAACTCAGAATTCTAAGAAAAAAAGTCAGAATTGTGAGACATAAACCCGCAATTATGAGATTATAACTTACATTTGCAAGATTCTAAGAAACAAAAAGTCACAATTACCTTTTTAGTTTGTTTATTCCGTGGCAGAAATATCCTTCCATAACTTTGCTCTTCTGCATGCTTCACCCTCATGCATTAAGGATGTAAATGAGCAACCTAATACTTACCACTATAACAAAACTAATCACACATTTTTCTGCTTTTATTTCACATGTTTACTTTCATCATTTATAGTTTGGTCCTCAGAGATGTCAGCATTCTGAATTATATTAACAGTCACACTTTGTTCCTTTGTGTTCTGCTGTAATTAAACACAGCTTGAGTTTAAAGGGGTCATTGATGCGATTTCAAGTTTTCCTTTCTCTTTGGAGTGTTACAAGCTGATTGTGCATAGATAAGATCCCTGAAGTTGCAAAGACTAATTACTTACAACAGAACAGCAATGTATTTTATGGACGACCGAGAGAGAGAGAAAGAGAGAGAGAGCGCGCGAGAGCACGAGAGCACGAGAGCGCGAGAGAGAGAGAGAGAGAGGGGGTCACATCACAAACACATACCAGCTTCATCACTGTGTCTGTCACGCGACTCTGTTCCCCTTTCGGGCTCTGTCTTTACATTTATTTTGAAAGATGAAGCTCGCGATTATGGTAAGGGGCGTTACATTTCCGACGAGTGCTTGCGGTGTTCGGCCAATCACAATGCACTGGGTCAGCTGGCCAATCAGAGCAGACTGCACTTGTCGGAAGGAGGGACTTTGTAGAAAACGAAGCGTTTGAGAGAGGCGGGGCATAGAGGACCTACAATAATGTACAGTATTTGAAAAATAATTTGTTTTTTGAACATTAAAGCATGTCAACATATTCTGTTACACCAAATACACAAAATAATGATCTTTAAAAAAGCATCATATGACCCCTTTAATACTTCTTATCATTGTAATGCTCTCTGTGCTCTTATCTTGTCATGTCTTTCTGTTTGTTTCGCTCTCTTCCGATCAGCTCTGGAATGACGAGCTTGATAAAGTAAGTGTGACATGACAAATATATGCATTGATGTTTGTATATATTCTGTTGTAATGTTTAGTTACTGTCTTCTGGTTTGGTTGTCATTAATTTTCGGGTTTAGCACAGAGCTCTTTATACACGTCGCTAATGTGCAGGGTTATTGTCAACTAAAGCTAAAATTAAAACTAAAACTAAAAACATAAAAAACTATTTTTTGTTACTTGAAAAAATAAACGTGAACTAAAATAAAATAAAATAAAAAACATATAAATATATTATTTATTTATAAAAAAAAAAAAATCTGCTAGTTACCAAGAGAAAATGTATTATTTTCTTTTAGCATAATTTGCTAAAATAACTAAAACTAAGACTGAAATAAAATCAATAAGAATTATAGACTAATAAAATATAATTATGGACTAATTTAAACTAATAAAAATGTTAGAAACACAACAAAATTGCTAAAATTTTAACTACAATTAAAATGAAAATGTAAAATATACAAATACAAACTAATTTCAAATATTAATAAAAAACTATAGTAAATGATACAAAAATAACACTGCTAATGTGATGGGTAAATTAAAGGAGTCATATGACGTTGCTAAAAAGAACATTATTTTGTGTATTTAGTGTAATGAAATGTTTATGTGGTTTAAGGTAAAAAAAA